GAGAGGGGGATCAGCATATGGACGAGGAGTGACGTCATTCTTTGGTTGTTTGTGAAAGCAGCTGTTTAACATTATTCTGCTGACCCACACCCTGTTGCTCACCTCACTGGCTCGTGTTACTATGGACACCAGGGTCCCGTCTCCATGGTGACTGGTGGCTTTAACCCAAAGAAGTTTCCATGAAAGTACTTCACTGTCCAACAGGCAGGTCTATATAACAATCTAAACCAGGGAGCTGAGTAGTGAAAGACATTTATTCCATTTAAAGTTTTAGCTGGCAAACCTTTAACACTTTTTTGACTAACTGATTACATTGTAACTATAAAGTGATGTTACAAAGTGTAGTGTTTATTAGTCATCTTTGTGTAACCCCCCAAGCAAACATTAGGTTTAGTCATTCTAAAGTTAGATATGCGTTTATATAAAGGTAGCTGTCAGTATTTGAGCAAATAAAGTGATAGTTGCATATTTGAGAATTTATGAATAATTAATTTAATACATGCAAATAGGAATGCATTATTTACCACACAGCATACTTTAAATGCCCCAGGTATACCGTACTCCAAAACAAACACACACAGAAAATGTGCACATAGTTCTGTTTATACTACGTTGGCTGTCTGAATAGGTGGATACATTGACTCCTCGCTGACACAGACAGGTGATGAAATTTGCAGTCACTCTATGCAAAATCATTTGATTATGTTTGAGGTCGATCTTTCAACAACAACCATAAACTAGCCACTGTGCCCCACTATGTGTCCATCTGTCCTGTCCTGTCTTGCAGTCGGGAGACATATAACGCCCTAACCAACTGGCTGACAGATGCACGGACTCTGGCGAGCCCCAACATTGTTATTATCCTGTGTGGCAATAAGAAAGACCTGGATGCAGACAGAGAGGTGACCTTCCTAGAGGCGTCGCGCTTTGCTCAGGAGAACGGTAACTGATGTTAAATCTACACTATTTGTTGTATCTCTGATTGTTCTTATTTCCTTTTGTCTGTATTATTACTGTATGCTTCCCTTTCTTTATAATTTATGCTACCCCATCCTGTCTTCTGTTTCTCCTTCTTTCACTCTTTTTTTTTTCCTCCCAACTTGAATTCATGCTCTTTTTTTTGCCTATGTAGAGCTGATGTTCCTGGAGACCAGTGCTCTGACAGGGGAGAATGTCGAGGAGGGTTTCCTGAAGTGCGCTCGCACCATCCTCAACAAGATAGACTCAGGTACACATTCTATTCTTGTTAAAGAGGTGTGTCTGAGTTGGGCGTTTCTGCAAGGGTACGCAGACGTTTGCTTGTTTTTTTAATGTCTGTGCTTGAGTGCATGAAGCTCTGTGGGTCTGCCTTTAGTAAAGTATACAGGTCTGCACCGCTGACATTTCTCATTATGTTTTTGTTGCAAAGGTGAGCTGGACCCAGAGAGGATGGGTTCAGGTATTCAGTATGGAGATGCTTCGTTGAGGCAGCTGCGACAGCCTAGAGGCACCACCACACAGAATAAACAGCAGTGTAATTGCTAGGGATCGGGGGCCCTGCCCTCACCTCAGCCCACAGGCCCACACAGACAGGACGTCCCCTATAGGTCAGTGAAATGTCATCATCTCAGCCTGTAACAGTACAGACTTTACCTGAAATCTGTTTCTGATTTGCCTCCGTATTGATGAAAGTGATCACCTTCTCTTTTCCTTTCTCTTCCCACGTCTCAGCTCCAGGTGTTTTTTGGTGTGTGGGACCCTTCTCTCTGCAGTCTCACACACCTTGGATCACCTGGATGAGTGGTCATGGAGATCACTGCAACTCCTTAGTCGCTGCGTCTGGGCAGGGGAAGCTCTCAGTGTGAACACTCTGAGATCATAAAGAAGAGGAATCCTCTTCTTTAAAAGATGGTTTCTCGGTTACTTACCAGACAAGGACGAGTCAAGGGTTGTGTGTATGGGCTGCCCTACTGTTGTTTTATCTCTGTGCTTTTTCATTCTAGTTTTAGTCATACCGACACGCTTTTTACATTTGCACATCACTGTTTATAAATTATTATTGGTAAGCTATTTTGCGAATATTCATCGCTCAACCTATCCGGATACAATTCATGATTAGTTTGGTTGGCACTTTGAAATTTTAACATTCATAAAGGCGTCCGTTGATATTTTGCTTTTTATTATCCATTATTTGAGTTAAGTGTATTTTCCATAAATTGAGCCTGTCATTGATGGTGATAAACAGTCTAAACGTGTCCTCTTATAAGTCCATTGAAGTCAACAAGCACAGATATTTCTTTAGAATTACTGTAGATATATTGAAAACCAGAGACAATGCAAGTCCTTGTAAAGGTTTCTGCACTTGTTCAGTAACTTTTCCTGACCCAAATGAAAGCAGCTAATCTGTGAGTTAAAGTGTAGTTAAAAATCTTCATACATAAGTAACATACAGGCCCGAATGTTAGAGCCCAGTCCTTTCTTTTTTTTTTTCACTGGACTTTTGGTTCGCAGTAAAATGCACTATTATGACAGTGTGTGTTGGCCTTAGTCATATACTTGATATTGTGGATCTTATATTTATTATATTATTCCTAATCACCCTGTCTCTAAACCGTCAAAGGGAACGGTCCAATCACCACACTCTACATCCACACAGACGAGCCTGTGGGTCAGGTTTAAAGCTCAAAAAAGTTTTTTTTTTTAAGAGTTTTTTCTCTTTATTTTACTCCAAAGTTCCCAAAGTCTGTAGATTTGAATGATCAGATTTAGTCCCAGTGTCTTTGGTCCTATCACAGTGTAAGATTAAGAAAGGCCCTTCAATCTTTGCAAAACAAACAATGTCTTTGACTCCTCCTGCTGGGTTTTTTCTCCATTTTCTTGACCTTGCTTTTAATTCATGCTGCACATACTGTATGAGGGACGTCACAGGAAACCACAGTTACGGTTTTGCCTCTGTGCCAAGTTTGGGAAACTTTCATACTGCCCACTCAGTTCCCTCATAGAGGCTCAACACTGTTTAGTCGAGCAAGGCTTTAAGTGCGCCTTGATGAAAGTCAGGATTTAAAAAAAGTAGCTTTCACTTCTCTTTATCAAACACAGAAGCATCTCTGCTCTGCTACAAAATATCATTAAGTTTGCAGAGCCAACCCCAGATGTTTTCTCCTTTTCGAACAGACCCTGCGTTGCCCCAGAGACAAACAGGGAATTTCCACTGAAACATGATTTCCTCTTTCCGTGTAGCACTGACAGCATTGGTTTGTGGTGCTGCGGGAGGAGAATGAGGCTGTGAGTTAATAACTGAAAAACCTCCCAAACTCTCCCACCCTACTGTTGAGTCAATGGCACTGCTTCTGTCTGAACCACTGAGAGCAGGTCAGAATGACCCCAGCCAAGAGGAGATCAAAACAAACTGCCTGCAAAACCTATTTCTCATGTCTTCTCCTCAAGTGTGAGCATATGTCCTCCCAGACAAACCATATGCGTTTTTAAGCTCAAGTGAGCCAGCACACTTTAGGGAAAAAGATGGCGAGTTGTGCAAACATGAGATCGTATAGGATATCAAGAGACAGATGGTCAAAGAAAAAAAAGGTTTTCATAAAATATTGGCATTGTGTGCTAGTTTGTCTCCTTCTGCAAGTGCACTTTTACTTTTGAATTTTCATGTTTTTCTTTTTTGTTTATATGCTGCAACTATAGAATTGTACATTTTATTTTACTTGAACAGTATACTGTAATAAAGATTTTAATTGTAGACGTTATAATTTCTTACTAAATGACAACTGAGATTGTTGATTTGATTCCCTTGTTTCTGCTGTCACCAGGAGAAAAGACTGTTGTAGCGGCGATAATCTGCTGCTGTGTTAGAGGTTTGACTTGTTTATTGTCCACTGCTGATGTGGAAGTAATGATGAAAGGATGTTGACTTCCTGAGCTGTAGGAGGCCCTCTGCAGCAACTCTGATCACCCATATTCACAGGTTGTCATTTACATTCAGCCGTCAAGTCATCTGCAGAGTTGGCTTGCATTCACCTGTATTTATTGTACAGTTCTTAATACACATCCATCAAAATATCCATATGATAAGCATTTATTTCTTCCAGTCTGGATTCAATCATGTGATGAACACAGTCCAACTCAGTTGTTGCTTAGTAACTAATGTTATATAATCAACCTAAATTCTACTGTACATCTAAAGTAACCTATGCTGTAAATAAGATTTGTCTATTGTCAGTTGAGGGTGAGTGTTGCTCATTGATTGTAATGATCATGCAATTCCCAGTAAACTGCTTGTTTTTTCAGTTAATACCTTTCACCTGTCTCATTGATGTTAACATCTGTTTTGTCTCTAAGCTGCTGTTACTAGGTTTAACAAGGTTTAAGTTTGTTTTCCCAAGGGAGTGAAGCACTGCCCTGTATCCCAAATATAGGTAAATCTCACTCTTTCCCTCTCTCTCCTGTCAGTAAAGTTATTACACATCAGGTTTATAGGCAGCTGACTTAACAGACCCTGAAATTTAACAATAGGATCAATGCACATGATTCATTTGCCTCATCTTCCATTCTTCAGCTGAATCATTCCTCTCAAAGGCAGAGTGAGGTTAGGATATCAGACGACTCATATGATGAAGAGTAAATGCCCTCTGTGTCCAATTGTCTGGATTTATGTTCTTGGGTCGATGGAGCAACGGCTAGAGTGGTTTAATGTAGCTGAAGTGGATATATTGACTGATTTATTGATCCTAGACAGCCTGTCAGAATGACCTCATAATAAAGTGGAGATGTTTTACCACTAGATGGTGCTAAAATATTGGACAGAAAAATCTCCAGTTCTTGTATCTAAGGACTATTGCAGATGAGCAATTGTTCTCATAACTGAATGAAAAATACCTATCAGAATCTTTTTTAGCATATGAACTACATTTTTAAGACATATCAGGCAATTAAGTCTAAATCATTCAGGATCTAATTGGAATAAAATGCAATTTTCATAGAAGGTCGTCATCAATTAGAAGCAGAAATCGTTCATGTATCACTTCATCTGTTTATTATTTACATATAATGGGACGTATTGATGTGGGTAGTTGAATTGGAGACAATAAAACATACAAACACACGTCTTTCATCAACAAACTCACACAGGTGGACAATAAGGGAAGCAGTACATATTTCACTAATGCCTAATTATTAAAAAAAAAAATACAAAAGTTGAACAACAGTAACATTTGAAACCACCTTTGACACCTTTGTGACTGGATATGGTTAAAATTAGAGTATGACAAGCAATCTCATCAACATTAAAGTCCATCAAAAGAGAAAAGAATAAAAGTGGATGTTCCGTTTTTTTTTTTGTTGTTGCCAAAGTTCATGAGGCTTGTAGTTGAGGAATTTAAAAGCCAATTTATTTTATGCAATGTTAAAGGAATTTATGGACCTTTAACAAGTAAATACTGCTCAGATCATACAGTGAGCAAGAACCCGTCGTCCTGGAATGATTTCACAATATTCAACATACTCAAGATATACTGTATGTACACACTATACGAAGCAAACTTCACAGTACTGCTATATGTAAAATATACTTTCTATGTCCAGGTCTTTTTCCGTCTGAGTGGGTTTGTATTTTAAGTGTGACCAACAAGCACCATTTAATGTAATTAAAAAGAGTTGCGTCAAATGATCTAGATGATTTGAAATGCAGTGAAAACGATTACAGCGTCCAAAGTGCAGCCATCTGAGCTAACATAACCTACGCTGTTTATCATCATCAACCACGAGGATGTCTGACACAGCACAGGTTGCCATAACACACAGACAAAATGGCACTCATCCTAAGTACACTCCATTCAATTATGAACCTGCCGTGGTGGGTCAATTGCTCTAAAGGGCTTTCTAGTTGTAGCTTGCTTGTACTGTGATCCAGATCTAAAAATGAGCAGAAGGCGTGACAACTCCAATACCACATCACAGGCGAGGTCTTTCTTTACATGGATTTATAGAGCTGGCTGCAAGGCTGTTGTAAAGTGCTCAATGCACATGGATCATTATAGGCAGTCTCTTTGTACATGGTGCTTGTTAGTTACAGTAGTGCCATCAAATGAATGTTGAGGTTAATGAAGGGAGGAGAGGAGAGGGGGGGCAGGAGAGCGCAGTGGACCTACATCAGTGTTTTCACACTGCACAGAGATAAATGCAAAGACTAACTGGTTACTACATGAAACAACTCATTTCTGAAGCCTCTGGCTTTGGGAAAAGTGAAAGAATATAAAGTTGATTGCCATGTAGGCAGTATATGAGATGGTAAGATGTTGAAATGTACAGCCTTTTTTTTTTTTACCGTGTGACCGCATTCAAAGTACAACAGATACATTATAGACTGCTATAACAAACAGGTTAATTGAACTTCCGTATTATATATCCGTATGTAAACAATATTGTGTATTTTTATCTCTAAGCACCCCCCCACCCCCTCCTGAAGTTCTGTACGGAGTGAGATCTGCCTTTGCGGAGGCAGGCAAATCATAGGGGGGTCCTTTCCAGAGTAACGGGGACATGGAGTAGGTTGCTTTAGGTGCCAGGGCAGCAGATTAATGAGCACTGGTGGTTGCCTGTTTTCTACTCAAGCGACTGGAGCATGAGGAGCTGCTTGAGGACCTTGGTCTGACTGGTCTCCCTGATCTCTCCCGCCAGGAACATCTCATCCACCACAGTGTACACCTTCAAGTATAGAGACAGGAAGTGCAATTAGAGGGCAAGAAATGAGAAGATTAAGGCATTTCAGGACTAAAATAGAGAACAAATACCACAGACCACATGTAGCATAGGACTAAAAACCAAAGAAACATGAAATGGTTGGGTTCCCTGGGAAAATTGTGCTATACAATGACAAGTCATCATCTACCCAACTCCAAATCTGTGTCATCAAAATGTAAAAATAACCGCCGGATGACTAAATACACAGGCTAACATTCCCATACGTGAATAAATGTGACAAGAATGAAGGAAGGAGTAGAAATTACGAATTAAATGTTTATTTCTCTTATTTGTCAATTTGTGGTTGCAACGTATCAAACGTGGGTGGCGCTTTGTTATAGTGGCCTGATGTTCAGACACCTTGAAAATTAGTAAGAACACAAGCAGCAGCAGGGGGGGGTTCAGAGGTGTTTGTTGCTTAGCATTTCTGTGTGAGATATATAGCCATCCCCCACTAAAAAATGAATTAGATGAATCTCACTGAATGACTGCTCGAGTTGTGAATATTGTATCAGTTGCCATGGCATTGTGATGAAAGAAACTCTTCTCGTCCGCCTCTTGTACTCTTCTGCTCCATTTGTCTGATCAAGGTGTTTATAAAATAATTAGAAAATCTCACAAGGCAAAAATAATCTTGCGATATCCTTACCTTGTAGAAGTTGAACACAAGGTCCAATTCGCACACGTTGTGAAAATACTCATTCAGCACCTAAAAAGAAAGAGAGGCACAGAAAAAATAAATATTATTCATTCCATCAGACAGCAGCCACGAGATAATCAAATAGTCTACTTTGAGAAGCCATAGCTGTATAGTAATTGTGTGTCTTGATGTGATGCATCATTGCAGAAATAAACTGACACCGTAGCAGCGGCAGAATCCACTTAACAGCCATGTAATAACCTGATTTCCACTACATGGACAACCATAGAGAATTAATGTGGTTCCCGTCTCATCTGGTTTCCACAAGAGATCATTTTTAAGCAGTGATATTGTGTCATTCTCAATGGCAGCATTACTAACCCCTTGTTGAGAATCTGCTGAAGTGAATATTGAAACGAGCATGGAAGGACTTCACTGTGCTCGTTTCAACATTCTCAGAGTACGGGTGAAAAGAAATGCACTATATTGATTTTAAATTGGTTTTCTCCATGAGCGTGTGGCCATATGCAAGTTTAGAAATACAACTTAGGAAAAATGCACCGACATGCATTCCTTCATAGTCAAACATTACATGAAATGACCTTCAGTCCTGAGGGCTCCGGATAGAAAACCGTGTAGTGTTTGTATTAACCAAAACAAACAGTAGAAGGACCTTAAGCTCACAATTTCTGTTGTTACTGTTTGATTTATAAAATGGAATATGATTAGAACAAGAAAAAGCAGTTACACAGCAATTAAGCGAACTAAGTGAAAGAACAAGACGCACTTGAGCTGCCTAATGCCGCCACATAATCACCCAGATGTATAATAAACATAGCAGGTTATGCTGATTAAGTCATTGATTTGATCAAATAATACAATAATTAGCTAACTGTGGAGTTCTGTTTCAAATGAGAGATCACCCTTTTTAAAATGACACCAGCATAATCTTTATTACACTATACATTCAACTACTGCCCAACAAAGAGAACTATTCCAAAATATACAGCGTCTACGTTTCTGGAATGAGATGTTTCAGACATTTCTGTCTCAATATAGTTGTGTGGTGTACAGCAGGTAGCTCCAACATGTTGTTGTTAGATTGTCAGCTCAGTAGGAGAAGTAAGTGAATCTATCTTGGATTTATGGTGTCTCTGCTAAAGACAGAAATGCCAGCATGATATTATGTCCCACATACAGTATACTACCATGGCAGGAAACAATGTACTGCAGTTACATGACAGGCAGTTATGACAGACGCAGTGATCAATATGAGCTGATGTGTCGTTCCAGGTCACACAGCTGCTGAATGGAAGTGCTCTGGATACAGTGTCACAGGTTTTTTTGAGCAGATGTTCCTACTAATTCACATTGAACATCAAAATATGGAATTTATTTACTTGTTATAAATGTTTAATTAAAGATAATAAATTGTGAAAGTAGCTGATCACTGAGCTCTATTTACACTCCTTTAGGTATGTTACATTACAATGTTAACATTTCTATGAAATGAAATAATTAAGCTTTAACAATTAAATACACTAGGACTGTTCTTTGTTTATTGCCATGCACTGATGGACAGAATTTTGAAAACCGGTTTTAATTGTGTAATATCTACTACTTGTAGAATAGAAAAAAACAAACATAATCTGATTATTTAAATAAATTATTGGTAGCTCTGCTGTCAAGCAACATCTGAAATAATGAGTAGAAAAATGGGTAGCTGAAATGCTGAAATGCTGAAATACCGCTTTTGCTGAGGTAGCACTTTCGGGCCAACGTGAACACTGAAGGGAGGCAACTGTGCAGGAGGAGGTCATACAGTAGCCGGCACAGATATTATTAGGAAACTGGAACGTTTTTATATGACCAAAATCTTACATATTATAAAAGTATTAGCTCCCAAATCTGAAATGACTGTAACGTTGCATTTACAACATCCGTCTTTTTGAGCAGGCCATTTGAGTGTTTATGTCTGCGCAGTCAGCTCCTATCAGACTCATTCTGTAATTAGTGATCAATCTGGTATTTTATTGCTGAAGGCTTGTTTCCAGCGTCACTTGACCGGGCATTATCTAACACTGATGAAAGTCATTAATGGCACACCCTGAACATAATGTAAAATTAATTTGGAAACTCATTATAGTATGTTTGGGAATCTGTACTGAAATAGACCATCATGCTAAACATTTCAACTGTGGCTAATTTTTTGTCCTTACACCAATCTGATGAACTGAGGACTAACTCAAAGCAATATTTATCAGTGATTTATAGACTGTTGAGAAATCATACAGTTTGTGTGGAAAACACCTTGCATGTATCATAAAGTAAGGCGTATCACCCATACACTTGAGTGCTGAATAATAAAACAAATTACTTTATTCCTCTAAATGTAATTTGACTGAAGTCTATACTTCCCACAAGAATGCAGGTTTGATATTAAGGAGCTGCAAGAGAGTAGAGATGGGGAAATCCTGAGGGAAATCATTAACAGACATTCCTGAAATCAATCAGACCATGAGAAGTAAATCATCACAGTTGACTTACTAAGTCTATATATCATGTGTTGTGTTGTGTGTGTGTGTGTGTGTGTGTGTGTGTGTGTGTCTCAGTTACCTCTACGAAGTTGTGGATTCCCTCGAGGTATGCCAAGTTGTTATCGGTCACGTCCACACAAATACAGAAGTACAGGCCAGCATAACGCCGGTAAATGATCTTGAAGTTCCTGAACTGTGAGAACAACACAGATGAAGCCTCTTAATAACTTTGTCTGACATATTATGACAACAGCAGAGGCTTTACTTAAGTAAAGCTAAGACTGAAGGTTTCCCAGCTATGAGGTGAAACACACCCAGTGTATACCTTAAAACCTTGGAACAAAACACATAATAAAAACAGATCAGCAGACCAGGATTTTTTATTTCTTTTCCCTAGAATGACGCCATTGGGGGGGGGACACACACACACACATGAGTCACATAATTATTTCACTGTAAAGCAGCCACAACAGAGATTTTTAAGGACAGTATGGTTTGTGGTCCTTGATAGGACTTAGAAAAAAAAGTTCTGGTTCAGCTGAACAAATGACCATAATGAGGCATTTTAAAGAACCACCCAGACAAATACAGAACCATATAACCATGCATGCATGAATATGATACTGACTCATCCCATACCTCCACAAAGTTGGTGTGCTTGGCATCCCTGACAGTTACCACAGCATGCACTTCCTCAATCAACTTCTGCTTCTCATCATCATCAAACTGCATGTACCATTTGGCCAGTCGTGTCTTCCCTGCTCGGTTCTGGATGAGGATGAAGCGGATCTGTGCGACACAAAAAGAATAAACGAGAGAGACAATAATGATGAGATTACATCTGTCTCATCAGTCCACCTGTCCTCGCTGTTTTAATCATTTGAAGACACAATTCATTGATCAGACTCGACTTTTGAATGTTACCTCGTCGGCTATCAGCTGTCACTCGCGTACAATATAAAAACAGGAGTTCTTAAACATCCACAAACATCTTGATATCTTAACAATATTCATACATTTAACTGCAACGTTAGCTCACTTAGCTGACTACTGGTAGCGTTAGTGAAACCACACACATTTGACACAATCTAAAGTATTGCGATCTATCTGAGAGAAGCTCTAGTTGGTGTTTGTTGTAAAAAAAAAAATCCGCGGCCTTAGCTTGCTACCGTCAGCTAACGTCCTGACTGAATGAAGAGGTTGTGCAGCGGGGTTATTAAAAGACAAAAACATGAACATGTGAAATATTTACCATTGTCGTCTCCTAAATGTGGACCTTAGAAGCTCCAGAATAGCCCGTTCCTGTACAATTATGCTACGATTTCACATAGATAACGATACATCAGTATTTCCTTCGACCGCTCGTCCGCTATCTTCTCAGAGCTAACAGGAAGTGCACGACTACGCTAAGTTGCGTTGCATGCTGGGGTGCGTAGTTTTTGTCGACACATTTAGAACACATCGAAGGTGACATGACACTACAAGAACCATGGTGCTTCCGCAGTGTCTCTCGTTGAGTCGCGCTTTGGATCACGTGAGAAGCAAAAGGATGTTTCTGCTATTTTTCTGTGGCAGAAACATTTTGATTTGTAGTTTTTAAATATAAAGTTAAACAAACTATGACGACAGATAAGGATGCAAACATTTGAATGGTACGAAGTTTTATTTAAATTATATTAGAATATAGGCCTAACACAGGACTGTTCAGTTAAAGTACTATCAGCGTTTCTTATATTAAACAACCTGGAGTATATTTACCATAACACATGTAAAAAATCTTTGTTTTTAATCTTTTTTTATTGTATTTTTCTATAAGTGTGTGTGTGTGTGTGTTTGCGTGCGTGTGCAGTTAGGTATACCACATTTGTGACACACCTTAGGATTACTTGCATACACCATATCTTTATATGAGAAATAAATAGAACAATATGTGTCATAATGTAACAAACACAAGTTTTATGATAGGGCCGAGCCCATGTTGAAAAACTGGTTGCAGGAGAAAGAGACATAAAACACAGGCAGACTCAACAGAAACTCTGACCCCCTCCTAATCTTGCTCTGTGTGGGGTCATGACTAATATTGCTGAGAACATAGTGACTAATGTGATTGGACAGAAGCTTGTGGACTTATTCAAACGGATGGCAGTGCACTTTGAACCCTGTCTGGCTGTGTATTTAATGGTTGGTCACATTTCATACTGTCAAAACACTCACGTGCACTTTATAAATTATAATTTTACAACTCACATAAGTATCCAGCTTTTGTGATTATGTGTTACATTTTGGGTTTCCTATTCAACAGCCAAGGATGTAACAGCTTTTACATTGACTGTAACCTAAAAGACAAGCTTCTGATATAATGTGTGTATTGTTTCCAGGGTGCAGTGTTTCTCAAATCTCCCCTAAAGTGTCATATATTCAGTTTCTAAAGCAATAAATTGGGTTTACAGCCCTGTGAAGTATTTGTTTTCATATCACACAGAGTTTAGATTACCAGATTGGAATTGCATGTTTGAGGAAGTGCAAGGAAGGACTAACAAGGGAGAGAGAGAGAGAGAGAGAGAGAGAGAGAGAGAGAGAGAGAGAGAAAGAAAAGAATTCTAGGAGAACGTCCCAATGCAAGACACTAAACATCTGTTTGTGCTGTTAGTACAGGCAACTGTCTTGTACAACAGTGCAAATATTCTCCAAAAGTACTTGAATTTTCTTTTTTTTTTGGGGGGGGGGGTGGGCTTAAGAGCTTAAATTTTTTATTACTTAGTGGCTGAAATCATCACTGACAACTTCACGGAAACTCCTTTTACCCAGTGGATGACTCAGGGCACAGCACACATAATTAGGACTAACCTTTGAGAAGATTGATTTTCTCAGGAAAGATAATTAATATTTTCCCTCTGTGCTGCTGGATAAGGAGTCCTTGGGTGAACACAGATCAAATCTATTACCCCTTATGTAGCTGTGGAACATTAAAATCTGTTAGAGAAAGACAAATGTTTGTACTTTGTACCTGGAAACGGGGATCAGCTATGAAAGGAAGTGATGTGTGAGGCATGGGGCCAAGAGGGCAAAGGGACCAAAATAAAGTCAATTAATTACAATCATGATGACATGAACACATTTCTTTTATCCATTGCTCAGAAACAGTGTTGCAATAGTACAGAGTGAAATACACAAGAAAAGTCTGATATCAGTAAACTGAGATTTTACAGTACGGATGGATTCATAGCAAAAAATCATTTGAATGAGTACTTTTACTCTTGATATGAGTAAAAGTGGTGTTATTTTATTATTACTGTTATTTTATTATTATTGCTGATGTAAGCAGCATTGTACTTCTGTAGTTGGGTACTTTTATCTCTAACAGTGCGTCATATTTTGAGACCCATGAGGTGGAAAAGGGTGACTTCACCACTAAGACTGAGATATAATTGAAACAGTGGATAATATGTGTGTGTGAAAAATTAAAATGGCAGCGGGTTACCTGCTGCTGCTTAATTCTTCTGGAAACTGTCCATTCCTTATTAATGATTGTGATGTAGATGTCATAGTGCCTGGCAACAATAATCCTTATGCTATTTGTTAAAGTAACTAGTAGCTACGGCTGTCAATAAAGTACAATAAAATGGAAAACAACACACAAAAAAAGTTTAATAATCCCTTCTGAAATGTATTAAATTCACAATTTTGCATACATTTTATAAATATATTTAATTTATGTTTGTGTGTATATTCTGGTTAAGTCATTGTTAGACATTTTCTTTTATATCTAGTTTATTAATTTGCCCACTGATGTATATTGTTTGTATAGCTAAATGTATAAATCAAACTACCAAAACAGAAAGAAATCCTTCCGCTATGGTAATTTATTTTACATGGCAGGTTGTTTAAAACTATACCGAATAAGTATTTTTGTTTTTAATCTAATAGTTTACATCTTGTGTAGTGATGAATGACGGTACTAAGTAATAATATTCATAAACAGTGTGTGTGTGTTGTAATTGTGTCCATGAACCACTGGGCGAGACTCTCTCTCTCCCTTTCTCTCTCTCTCTCTCTCCCTGTGTGTGAATAGGAGGGGAGATGCTGGATTCGGGAGAAGGTCCGCCATTATTGGGAAGCTGAAAAAAAAAATAGACTTAAACACACCGTCACACATTTAGCCTGTAAGGAGCTTAACGTTAGAAAGGAAAATACAGCGGTTTTCGGACGAGCTGTTGTTCCCTGAACGCGGCGCTTCGGTAAACGAAGGCACGGGCTTGTGTTCGCGTTTCGCCACGGACTCTTTTATTTTTGACACAACAAAGGAAATAATAATTGGTCAAAACAACGTGGTGCTTGAACCAAGAAGGGAAAAACACACCGAACAACGCTTTGCGACGCCACCCCCCTTTTTTCTTCTCTCCTAGTAAGACGTTTCCAGCAGTGGTGAGGAGACTGGAGTTTGAACAGCATTTTTTCTTTTTTTTTTCCTAACGTGAATTTAGTTGTTTTTTTCCCCCTCTTCTCCCCCGTCTCTCTCTCCTGAGACACGGAGAGAGACAGAGAGAGAGATATGCATCTCGTTTCTGAAAACTTCAGACTGATTGAAACGAGCGCTTAATGTGGGGGTGCAATGGACAGAAAGCCTGTTTGCTGAAGAAAAGCGGAAAATAATCGATGTGAGTGCTTGCAGGACGTGTTTTTGTCTGTTTTTTAAAAAAGTCTTTCGCCGGCTGTGAGCAGAGGAGCAGAGACCGAAAGAAAGGAGTGGACGAGAGAGAGAGAGGAATGCTATGGTATGTAAAGTATACTAGATAATCTTCTTTTTAAAGCAAAAATTACACGCGTATGAGACAATGTGAAGGGGCTGAACAATGCTGGGAATATATTTTAAGGCGTTTACTTCTCCCTACATTGCAGCATGGCTTCATTTTGAAGTGGTGCGAATAACAAGAAACTGGGAGTCAACCCCTGGTCCCCCGAGGGCTGCCGTGATTTAAAGTCCCCCCCTTTTATACTAATAATAATGTTTATTGTAAAGGTGATGCATTGCATGGGCTTATAATGAAATCAGAGCAGTTGCCCTGTGCATGTTTTTTAAATGGGAAGTTTAGAGAGGAGAAAGGAGGGGGGGAGGGGGGGTCATAAAAATGGATCTTGTCCAAACATTAAAATTGTTTGTACAACAACACCTGGAATGCATTGGTCTTGTCAGGCCTGGAGAACCCCCCCCCAGCATGCCTTGATTATAAGACGCAATGACTTTCAATTGGTGGAGGGGAAATAGGATGTTTGCTTTGGACCATAAAGACTGTCAACCAATTGTTTGCTGCTGTGTCTGCATGTTTCACTTATTTATTCATGTGCTGATCATCTCCGGGTTAAAATATAACAATTAAGTGAATTATAAATGAGATTTTTTTTTTTTTTAAGTTTAGAGTTGTCTAATAACTTCCTGGGCTTTCATTTGGCATGTTTTATTAGAATTAGGTCATGATAAGCTGTTATACGTAAGAAACTTTTGTCATGAGTAATTATTTTCTCTCATTAACTTTTGCAAACATCAAAGCTGCATGTACAGGGCTTCCCGGTGACACTGTTATCTAACGTGCCGGGAGGTAACTCTGCTCGGTTCCCTGACAGGATATACAATAAATGTCTGGCTATTGTTTCCACCAATTAAATCTCTCAAGTGGGGGGGTATTTAACTTGTCTGTCTGGATGATGCATGTCTGCCCTTTATGTTGTGAGATGAGGTGAAGATAGACTGATTAGGCTAACCTGATGATAACAGTAATCTATTTTTGTGCCAGAATTAGGGCCTGTCCTCACGAATACGCGGCCTCACCCAATACGATGTCGTTTAGAAAAGAATCTCCGTAAACACGGCATCTTTTCCAGAAATATCTGTGTCCACACGGATTCACTGACGACCCAAAACACTGGAGTACATATGCCAGGCCTGTATGTGGCGCTGTGACGCCGCCACACCAATACACTAAAACCGGAAGAGAAGCCATGGAGCATGCGCTGTTTACAAACAAATAGTACTAGTCCGTCATTGTTGTTGTTATGACGCGTCTAGCGGTGGCGGCGGAGGTTAAAGGCTAGAGAGGCGGGGCTAATCCGTTTTTTCGCCGTCCAGACAACTCCGGGCAATCCGGCGTTTTCGGATCTTCCCACTCTGCGACCCATTTCCAAAAAATACCATTTTCACACCCCGAAAACGTCGTATCCATCTGGATGCGAGGCCGATACGATAAAGTATTTATCTGGATTCTAAAAAAACGTATTCGTGAGGTCAGGCCCCCTAGTCACCAGTGTGTCACAGTGTTATCTCACTGCCACTGCAAATGGTCATTGCCCTGCCAGCCACTCCCTTTTGTCAGTCTTTTCCACTGGACTTCAGTACTTTAATTTTAAAAGTGATCTTTCCACCTGCCTCTTGAATATCGATTTTAAGATCGGCCAGGAAAGACTTTAGAGAGTGACATAAGTGGGTGATTGTCAGTGTATGTTTGTGATGTGGCCTTAACACAGAGGTGCGCAGCAAGGGCTGTGGCCTGCATTGCTGTGACACTGCCAGATAGAGGGAACATTTTCAAAACAGGAACTTTGTCATTTGATGATGGATGCATGTTGTACATTTCACATGCTTTTCAAGCACACAAGTTGACTCATAATGTCACATTTGCTGGCAGTTTCCTCTCCCTTTCATCTCGATCAACCTTATTGGGAAGACCATGCTATGGAGGAAGTAAACAGACATACACACTTTGCTTGGTAAGACGGTCTCTTTGCTCTCAGGTAAACGCATTAGCAGCTGTCAGCACTTCTGTTCTCTGCTTGATTGGGCCCTTTGCAGTGCAGTCACAACTCTCCAGGAAGCCTCTTCTTCCCCTAATAGCCGTGCCATTTGCCCAGGCAGCAGGCTAGCTACCAGCATACCCACTCACCCCTGTCTGTCTGCCTCTGGGCTGCAGATCGTGTTGTGAGTCCCTGGGCTAGAACATGTTCCTGGGATTAGAGGACGGCTGGCTTTGTTCGTCAGGATGTAGGCCAGAGATGTGGATACATCCTTTGATGAGGGCACTGGAAGAGAGATTGCTGCCCCATGTTATGTGGAAAGATAAACACAGGGTTTGGCATGCTTTGTAACAGACACAGTGGAGGGATATCTACTCCTCATATCACATTTAATTCTAATAGTCCTCACTTGACTTCTCAACACTGGAGCAGTAATCAAATGAGAAAGGTAATTGGAAAGCACTTTAGCCCTTTAGTGCGAAACATGCCCTAAATCAGTAAGCCCAGCTGTGGGCAGGTTATTTTAATAAGGAACGATGTGTTTCTGGCTTGTAATACCACTCTATTTGAAAACTTGCCCCATACCATATTATTTCCATGTCAACCCAAGCTTTTATTTCCACAAACCACTGTGCCGCTGAATGAAACGGTGGCCTCTCACCTGCTCGTTTGTGGATTTCACAGTTAGCCTACCTGTCAGCGCGGGGCGACTCCATATGCCATGGATGGAAAATGTCCCCGCTCATCTGAAAATGTGCCGTTCCCTAAATCTCTTCCTCTCTCTTGTATTACAGGAGAGGTTTGCTTGTCAGTCAGTGTAAGCCTGTGTTTGATGGAGAAAGGAGCTAATTATAGCGGGCAGCTTTGGAGTTTGGTGGACCAGATTACAGTCGCTCTCCTCTCAATGGCTGCCTTGTTCTAGTGGCCGATTATTAGGCAGAGAGAAGTGCATTCTGGGATGATTGTATCTGAATTTCCATTAGAAAGTGTGCCTGCCTCAGTTGAACTGAGGTTCTCTTCTCTCCCCACTGTTGCAGTTCCCTTGCTCATTACAGATTTTGCAGATGGGGACAGCTTTATATAAAGGCCTCTGTAGTGTGCCCCTATTCTGTTATAGAGCCAGTTTCACTCTGTATCCTGAATGGCCGAATTATGTATGAGGGAACTGACCCCAAATCAGCAGCGGTGGTTGTGCCTAGTTTTTATTTGAAGGAGCGAAATTATAACACATATAAACTAGTATTCCTGCCTCGTTGTGTGCCTTTTTTATAAGAAATGGTTCACCCAGGAACTTTAAAATAATTTTAAATCAAATCAATTGGTGATAAAAATTGCATTTGCTCTATATCCCGAGCCCACGTTATTATGGTATTACTTTCCAATACAAATGCATTATTAATGGATAGAGCTAGTGGAAAGTAGGAGCTTTAGATATGATTAATGGTTTGAATGGTGGCTTTAGGACTCTGTTGATATAGTTTTAACCGGCCTTCATATTGTTTTTGGTAAAAAAAAGAAAAAAGAAAAGACAGTGACATTGTTTGGAAGCACGGTGACCATGGAGATGAAGGACCAGGATGTTAGCCACAGAGGAATGGTGACCTCTGGACGTGAGTGGCCCTGCTTTGCTATTCCAGATACAATTACACAACAGAGGGGCAGGGGTAATGGGGCTATGGTAATTTGAAAGAGCTATAGAGAGGGAACATGAGGGGAGAAGTGGGGGGAAAACAGTGAGAGAGTGACACAACAAAGTTGGTAGTCAGTTGGACAAAAAAACAAGCTGCACCAATGAGAGAGTGTAAAGTAAAGCGCAAGCAAACTGCTGCCAGTTTCTGCTTCAGGCTGTGTTCTGTGCTGGTATGTGCCCTTTCAGCTTTGTGCTCAGGGATCAACCAATCAATGACAGCCATAAGTAACCCTGCTGCTTGGCTATTGGCCACAACTGAATTCCATGACTCAGCATGTCCGTAGATAAGATGTTATGATTGAGTCACTGCCAATGAAATGAGGCCACTGCCCGGAGTTCAATAGGTTGGACTTTTGCTGCTTTAATCGCACACAAAAAGTTTGTACCACCTACATACAGCGGAGCACGGATTTTAACGCTAGTTAAAAAAGTTTTGTCGACCGTGTAGGGGGCTCGGTTGAAGAGAGAGGGTTGTCGTATATAAATACATACTCCATTACAATCACGTTGAGGGTATAATAGCCGCTGATTGTTCTCGAGTGAGTCAGTGTTTACGCTGACTGTACTTGGGATTTTGAAAGGCTGTAGACACTGAAAACCTCTCACCCTTGGAAACAAAGAGAGCCTGCCCTGAAATCCACCTACACACACATTAAAGGATAACGCTGAGCATGTTTGTAGTCTGTGGACACATACACACACTCACACATTTCCCACACTAACCCAGCACTTAGTTTTCATTTTTGTCTTAACCTGTCGCGCTGACCTGCCCTCATCTCAGTCTCCAGGCTTTATTGCCTAAATTGGGCTGGTGTCAGGCAGAGAAGTCCCCGTGTGTCATTGTTTGACTTTCTCTCTGGGGATTCTCCCTTGTGGCGCCCCTGGGTTTCCTGTAGGAAGGATGGGAGGCCAGGAGAAGTGGATAGGGTGGAGGGAAAGACAAGAGCCAGGGTTCAAAGGTGAGGGGAAGATTTAGAGGACGGACACAATGGAACTTTTTTTTATTCTACTAATAATCAGAATAATAGCCAAGTAGAAGACAAAAGCCTCATGTAACCACCTTGATGAGAATAAACTATCCAGTGCCATTGGAAACATTTCCTTTCGTTAATGATAGTTGGTCATATACATTTATAAACTTGTATTTCTTCAGATAATAATACGTACTTCTAGGTTCAAGTCAGAGATAATAAAATCAATGCAAAGGAAAAATAACGTGATACTATCTTAATACAAACATTATCAGATGTTAAGACTTCCAGATGCTGATAGCGGTATCCTGCTCGGAAATCCAGTATC